TTTCTCTCCGACCGGTCGCAGTTTGTGTTGGCAGGGGGGCAGAGGTCGACCTCGAGGCCTCTCATCTGTGGAGTGCCACAGGGATCGGTCCTCTCACCCCTTCTGTTCAACATTTATGTGAAGCCGCTGGGTGAGATCATCCGTGGCTTTGGGGTGAGATACCATCAGTACGCTGATGACACTCAGCTGTACATCTCCACCCCAGGCCACCCCAACGATGCCCTTGAAGTGATGTCCCAGTGCCTGGAGGCTGTGCGGATCTGGATGGGGAGGAACAGGCTCAAGCTCAACCCTTCCAAGACTGAGTGACTGTGGCTCCTGGCATCCCGATATAGTCAGTTGACTCCATCACTGACTATTGGGGTCGAGTCTTTGGCCCCCACTGAAAGGGCTCGCAATCTGGGAGTCCTCCTGGATAGGCAGCTGTCTTTGGAGGAACATCTGACGGCTGTTACCAGGGGGACCTTTTATCAGGTTCGCCTGATTCGCCAGTTGCGGCCCTTTCTCGATCGGGATTCCTTGTGCACAGTCATTCACGCCCTCGTCACCTCTCGCCTTGACTACTGCAATGCTCTCTACATGGGGCTCCCCTTGAAGAGCACCCGGAGGCTCCAGCTGGTCCAGAATGCAGCAGCGCGGGTAGTGATGGGAGCAACATGGCGCTCCCATGTAACACCGCTCCTGCGCGAGCTGCACTGGCTCCCGGTGGTCTTCCGGGTGCGCTTCAAGGTGTTGGTTATCACCTTTAAAGCGCTCCATGGCATAGGGCCTAGCTATCTGCGAGACCGCCTGCTGCTACCGACGACCTCCCATCGACCCGTGCGCTCCCACAGAGAGGGCCTCCTCAGGGTGCCATCAGCCAAACAATGTAGGTTGGTGGCCCCCAGGGGGAGGGCCTTCTCTGTGGGGGCTCCCACCCTCTGGAATCAATTGCCCCCGGAGATAAGGAGAATCCATGACCTCAATGCCTTCCGTTGTTCCCTGAAAACCCATCTTTTTCAGCAAGCCGGGTTGGCTTAAGAAGAAATTTTTAAATTCTTTTAATTAGTCTGTGATTTTTTAACTTTCGGGCCAAAATTTATATATATTTTTAAATGTTTTAATATTTGTATTCTAGGTTTTTTATCTTGGCTGTACACCGCCCTGTGTCCTCAGGGAGAAGGGCGGTATATAAATTGGAAATTAAATTAAATTAAATCAAATCAAATTAAATTAAATTAAATTAAAATGTACTGGTTAATTTGAAAATAATTGTAGTGATTGCTCTGTGTTTGCTGTAATCCAGCTCTTTCTTGGTCTGGCATGATAAATAAGGATTTAGCAATGAATGAATTAGTTTCCTAGCAGGCCATAAACTCACTAGTCTGTAGTACTTTCAATAGTGCAAGTGGTTGCTATGCTACACAATCCTTGTGGTCACTTGCAACTGTGAAAATTTAATCAGAAACAAATTGAAAATGAGATGGTGCCGCCATATATAAGATCACTTTTATACCTGAGATTGTTAGACATTGTTTCCTAGATAGTTTATGCATTTTCATTAAATAAAGACAAGATACTGATACAGCCCCACAAAGTTCTCTGTCCTGAAAGGTTTGGGTGAAATTGTAATGGGAAGCATATTGTTTTCTCAGTCTTTGACTTACTTAGAGAGAGAATTCTCCTCTAGCCACAATTGCAGTAGTAAATGTTGACAAACATTTGAATGATATTTTTTAAATCTTTCTAGCTGAGAGTTGTTAATCCTTAGTAAATACAGAAATTTTTCTAGACATCCTAACTTTGTGTCAGTTTGGAAATCATAACAAAATACACCTTTAGGGAAGTTTACTTTATTGAAATTAATTTGCTTGCTGATGGGTAGCAGACTAATATGAGACATTTTTCCCTACTCCCAACCCCTGATTATTTCAAACACTACATATAGGACATTGAACTTTGCCTATGAACAAGAGCTGCACCAGCTCTCTCCTCCTGCAGCTTCTAGTAGAACTTATGTTCATGCTAGCAGATGAAACATACATAACGGAAGTTTCAAAAACAGCAGTTGGTAGTTAATGTTTGTAATAATAGAGGTACAGTTTGGCATAGAAGAGAGTTCTGGTATAATAAACCAGGGGATTACAGGTAATTTATAAACTCAGCTGTGTATAATTCACAAGATATATCTATATTAGTTATTAACCAAGGCTCATGGGTATGGTGGGATATTCATCACATAATATATGATTCTATGTTTCATATGGCAGTCGGGGCACATTGGAAGCTAGTTTCCATTTTTCCCTTATGAAATGATGTCAGTATAACACTACCTTTTAATTTCTAAGATTTCAGGTGTTCTGCTGTTTTTGGAAAACCTTAGTGGGAAGAAATAGGGAATTATTTGAAACATTTACAAACTGATATTTACTGGATGCTATTTTTCACATGTTTCTTTCATAGGCTTCTTGCCTGTGTGGTGTATATATTATGGTATTATGTAGGTTATTTAGGATGTGTGTGTGTGTGAGAGAGAGAGAAGGAGGGAGGGAGGGAGGGGGGGGGAGAGAGAGAGAATAAAATATCAATGGCAGGGTACCACCTTGATTTTTTTAAAAAAAATATATAGGCCATCTAATTTTTATAGATTAGGATTTTAGTCCATCTTCAGAACAGGCAGCTTGACAAAATAAATTTGCAGTTCCACCTGGAAGAGTTAAACTGAGGAAAATAAGATTAATAGTTCAGAAATGGCAAGAAACATTGAATTGTCAGAAATGGACATCTATAAAGAAGTAAACATTTTTTAAAAAGGAAGGTTAAGGAATTAGAATACTGTTATTTCTTTTATCCGTGTAATTTTTATTCTATTTACAATATCTAAAAAAAGAGAGAGAGAAAAAAACAAATAAGATATTAAACAAAAAAGATGCACTGTAAAAAAAAGCATAAACACATATTATCCTCCCTAGTTGAATACTGATAAGTATATTGCAAAAATATGAGTTTCCCACCGCTTGCTAAACAGCCCCCCCCCAATTTCAAACTTCTACTTGCAAATTATTAACCTGTCATCACCATACAGTATTAATGAAAAAATAGTTAACGGATAAAGCAACAAAAAAAGGCAAGAGTAAAATATCAAAACACTCTGTTAACAAACTATTACTGTATTCAACTCGTAGAAAATTCACCACAGCTTCTTATCTATCCCAAATCAATCCAACAGTTTCCACTAATTCGTCCTGGATCAAAGATCTATGTTTGTTTCTTAATGCCATCTCTTAGTTATTGTTGTTTGGTTAAAAGAAATAAATCCATTCTCCAAAGTTGATCTATCTTCCCAAAGGAGTCCAGATAAAATTGTTTTCCAAGTTAATATGATAAATCCATTCCCAAATCTCTTTCAATCTTCTTAGGGGAAACTAATTTATCACATATCTACCCAGTCAGTTTTTTGCTCTTGTAAAAGATTGCAGGCCTGAACTTTGGGAAGTCATGTACAATCCACTCGTTCTAAGTCTGTAAAATCCATATTTCTTTCAGTCTTTGCTGAATCTACCACTTTCAAATCAAATTCTTTTGTGAATCTGCTTCATCTACAGTTACTTGCAACTGTTTTTTTTTTTTGCAACCATATTTGTCAAACTTTTAAAAGAAATTTTCAACTTGGATTTGTATGCTACCAGTCTTTTTTTAAATGCCACCCAGTTTTCCTTGTCTATAATCTGATACATTGTTACTCTCATGGAATTTAGCAGAGAAAGATCTTCAGAAATAGAGAACATAGAAAGTATATTTTCAGAGTGAAAATATAACTAGAAAAACAGAGAGGATATTTTTGGATATTTCCAAATAATAAATAATCTCAAACCTTTTACAAGTTAATAAAATGCAAAATCCCTGTAGAGAAAGTCTAATATAAATGTAAATCAAGTCCAAACACCTTCACTACCCAGAAACACCCTGTGATTTCCTTGAGTCATTCAGTGCAGCCAAATAAATCAAAAGACAAAAAAACTCCAAATAATATCCAGCAAAGGGGGAGAAGGTTTAAAATAAAACAGCATGCAACCAGTTAACTTTTAGAGATTAAAAGCATAAGGTTTGTTTAAGAGAACAATCTGCCCAGAGGAAAAGATGGATAGGTGACTGGGGACTTTGTGGCCGCACCCAGAGGGAGGAACTACAGTCTTTAAGATTCTTCTTCCTGGGAAGAGGGGTGCATGACCATCCAAAAATCGTCTTGGGTCATTCCTAAGTCTTCCCATTCATATCCATGGAACAATGCTGTCAAAGGAGCAGCTTTGGTAGCAAAATCAGGAGATTGTCAACATGAGAGAAAAATTCCCTTACCATTCAGCAGCCATCTTGGGGGAGGAGTGTGCAAGAATGCTGTTATTTTGATGTAAGCTTACCTGATTTGAAACTTCTGGACTAAAATGTGTGCAGTGATTTTCTTTCAAAAAGAAATTTGAGTTCACTATTCATTATTAAAACTATATATTTATTTAGTAGTTTTGTAGAGTTGATAATGAGAGTTAATTTGAAGCAATAAATGTTAATGTGAAATGTTTCCAATGAGTTACTAATAATATATTACATAGCCATGTATGAGGAAAAGAACATGGGAGGTCAAGCCAGCGCATAAGATATTTGAAGTATAATGGATTGGATACAGATTTATAATTTTTTATTATGGAAAAGATTGGGAACTATTTGAAGTTCCCATGAAAATTTTAGTAGAGCAGACAACTCCTCCAAAAGTAATATCAATTACTATTTTGGAGTGTTCTGTGATCCTAGAGAAGCTTTTGAGTGGTCACACAGAGTTGTCTTCCTCTAGCAGAATTCCACTGGTGATCTGGTTCATTGTTGGTTTCAATGTACAGTTTAGGAAAGAGAAGGGTATGTAAGTCATATAAGTCCGGAATTAATTTAATCATATTTTTTCATAGAATTTTGGAAACCTTTTATCAGGCTGCAGTTTTTTAACTAGAAAATCATGCTTTGTATTTTAGGTTGGTGGAAATAAGCAAACCATGAATGAGCATCTACATGTTACCAGTCATGGGCAGATCCAACAGCTCTTTGAAGATAATAGTAACAAAAGGACAGTTCTATCCACACAACCAAATGGGCTTGCAACATTAGCAAAATCAGGACTGCCAGTGGTACAAGATAGGCAGCTCGAGAGCTGTCATAGGCGTCAGGGGAGCTCCAACTCCTTGAAATCTACCGAAGGCCCAGGAAAGATAAAAGCTACTCCCATGACTCCTGAGCAAGCAATGAAGCAATACCTGCAAAAACTAACAGCCTTTGAGCATCATGAGATCTTCAGCTACCCTGAAATATATTTCTTGGGTCCAAATGCAAAGAAAAGGCAAGGTGTCATTAGTGGTCCAAACAATTGTGGATATGATGACGACCAGGGATCTTATGTGCAAATACCCCATGATCATATAGCATACAGATATGAAGTTCTTAAAGTTATAGGAAAAGGGAGTTTTGGACAAGTGGTAAAGGCATATGATCACAAGATGCATCAACATGTTGCTCTGAAGATGGTGAGAAATGAGAAGCGTTTTCACCGCCAAGCTGCAGAAGAGATTAAAATTCTGGAGCACCTTAAAAAACAGGATAAAGATAATAACATGAATGTTATACACATGCTGGAGAACTTCACATTCCGCAACCATATATGTATGACATTTGAGTTGCTGAGCATGAACCTTTATGAGCTCATTAAGAAAAATAAATTTCAGGGCTTTAGCCTGCCTTTGGTTCGTAAATTTGCCCACTCCATTTTGCAGTGCTTGGATGCTTTGCACAAAAACAGAATAATTCACTGTGACCTTAAACCAGAAAACATTCTGTTAAAACAACAGGGTAGGAGTGGTATTAAAGTGATTGATTTTGGCTCTAGCTGTTATGAGCACCAGCGTGTCTATACATATATCCAATCACGTTTTTACCGTGCTCCTGAAGTCATCCTTGGTGCTCGATATGGGATGCCAATAGACATGTGGAGCCTGGGCTGCATTCTTGCTGAACTCTTAACAGGATATCCTCTCTTACCAGGAGAAGATGAAGGAGATCAGCTGGCTTGTATGATAGAACTCTTGGGCATGCCTTCCCAGAAACTACTGGATTCATCAAAAAGAGCAAAAAACTTTGTGAGCTCCAAGGGTTACCCCCGATATTGTTCCATTACTACCTTGTCAGATGGTTCTGTTGTGCTTAATGGTGGACGTTCCAGGCGGGGCAAAGCGCGTGGCCCCCCAGAGAGCAGAGAATGGGGGAGTGCATTGAAAGGATGTGATGATCCACTCTTCCTTGACTTCTTGAAACAGTGTTTAGAGTGGGATCCAATGCTGCGTATGACACCCAGTCAGGCTTTGCGGCATCCTTGGCTCAGGAGGCGTTTGCCAAAGCCGCCAACTGGGGAGAAGACTTCAGCAAAAAGAATAACAGAAAGCACTGGTGCTATCACATCCATTTCCAAGTTACCTCCAACTTCAAACTCAGCTTCAAAACTGAGGACTAATCTGGCACAGATGACGGACGCCAATGGGAATATTCAGCAGAGAACAGTGTTGCCAAAGCTTGTGAGCTGAGGTTTGAATAATCTAATGCTGATTAAAAAGAGAGAGAGAGAGAGAGAGAGAGAAAGAGAGAGCAATTATGTCACTGAGCCTTATTCACATGAAAAAGAAGCTCAGATTTCTATTTTTATTTGATCAATACCTTTAAACATTTGTATTTTTTCATTGATTATTTTAAATGTGTTAAGCACGGTTTTGATTTTATAAAAAAACAACATGGGGACAATGCTTTAAGTTTTTACACTTTTTTAAATGAAATGTTTCTCTTGTAAACAGCAATTAGCCTTACCATGGAATTAGTATGGCACAACGAAGTGTCAGTGGCAGGCCACTGGTTACTATCTAAGCTTGATATTTTTAGCTAGGTGAGGAAAAGAAGAGTAAATTCCTTTTCCTCAACATGACTTTTCTTAGGAGTGAATTTTAATACTTATCATTGCTTTTGTTATAGCAGTAGGTTCCATTCCTATAAACATTTATTCATATTTTCATGCAATGATCTAGAAAATATTCAGGGCTATAAGTGAGGTTTTGCATGGCTGTTTGAGGTTCTGCCTGTAGTTTGGATTATTTACAGAATGCCACATAAAAATAGTTAAAATATTCTAATGGAGCATCCACAAAGGGCTTACTTCATGCTCATAATGCTCCTTTAACAATTCTCTGTCAAATATCCAGGAAGAAATACTGAAATTTGATGCAAGGTTTCTGAAGATGCAATAATTACATTTAAAAGACCTGAACTTATTCCACTATTTGGCTAATGTAAAAGTAAACATTTATAGCATGAAATTGTGCTATTTGGCATATTTATGAACCTCAGAGAACAGTCCTGATTCTGTTCATTTGGAAGTAATTTCCACTCCTTTAATGGAATTTGTAAAAATAATAAAGGTGGGATAAAAATAAATTTTAAAAAATAGAGGTCAAGAGTTTAAATACTTTAGACTGCAACTCACTCAGCTGTTCCCCTGAATTAGACTTATTCCTGAACAGGCAAGCACAAAAACCCTGGCCGAGTATTTGAGTCACAATTGGCACCATAGATGAAAGAGAGCAGCCATACTGAAGAGGACAAATAAGAAGAATAGGAGGACATTTCTTGCATTTCTGTTTCTAAGAAGGCTTATTGGGAAGAGCTAATAAGTTCTTCTGAAGAAAACAGTAACACATTCTTAAGTACTGCCAGGAACATTGGGATGTTCAGAATAAATTATGTCAGAATATAGCAGCCAATGTGATTCTGGGTAGCCACAAAGCATCAAGGTATATGAAAAGTCAAACTTAGAGGGAGATATGTTTATCTAGCCCCCAGTCCCTCAAAAATTTTGCCTTGCCTTCTCCTTCCCCTGCATGGATGACCCGATCACAAGCTAGGCACAGTATTTTAATTCCCTGTACATTTTTGTTTTACAAAAGAAAAAAAATCTATGGGGCTATAAAAACTGAGAGACATTCTTATAAATTCTGATAAGTCTAAAAAACGCCACTTTGCAGCATGCTAGTTTCATTCATATATACATCTACATATGTGTTTGTGTGTGTATATGAACACACACATCTACACACATGCACACATTTTGGAAAATATAATTAGGGGAGACACAGAACTTCTGGGCATCAAAGAAGGAATCTGGGCATGTTGATGACTTATAGGCACCACCCAGCTTGCTCTTGCTCTAGCTGTAGGAATGATACATAATGTCTGCAGCAGCCTTGTGATTCTCAAGCTATTCCCTTTGGAGGTGTCAGTGGTCATGCAGGCTAAGAACTGTAGGAGCTGTAGGTCAGAGTATCCCGAGGGCTTAGCCTGGGCATATGATCTATCTTTTATCCAAAATTACTATCCATTCACTTACACGTACGCATTAATATAACATGAATGCATAAAACCTTGTCGTTAATTTCACTCATTCCAACACTGAAAATGTATCATAGGAACAACTTCAATGTTTCTCAAACTTCCCAAAGTCAACAATAGGAAAACCAAAAGCAAAGCATTGTGAGCTTTGCCTCCTACATTGCTGAGAATTAGACTGTACTGGGGAAATAAAGTCAGACAGTTTTTAAATGTGATTCCAAGCCAACTGTCAAGGTAACCAGCTTGATAGCCAAGTAGCATTGCTACTCTTCTGCTTTTTTCCAGCTGTTTGATCTGCTGATACAAGCAACAAAGCTCCTTTGACAAAAGCTTTCTTTCCCCTCCCACTATATAACTGCAAGCCTCAAAATTAAATGAAGCAGTTCCTTTCTTAAGGCTATGAATACTGAGCTGCATCAAATAAAGAACAAGGTTGATTAGTTACTGTAAACTAAAATCTTATGCTTACCTATATCTATGTTTCATTTTATCCTGTTCCATACTTAAAATGGAAGTTCAGATATGAAGGGATGGAGAGGCAACATTGATTTTGCTTCAGAAGCAATGTAAACCAACTGGATTATTTCTTGCCAACACTCAACTAACATACCATGTTTTGGCCTGTGTTCATTATATTCTTCACCTACAGCAATAATCCTGGACTTGTCTTACAACTAATACAGTCCAATTATTGCGTTCTGTCTTTGTATGTTCCCAGAATTCATACATTTTCACCATGAAAACAAAAAACATTTTCCCACAAACCTATTTCAAATGGAAAGTGAGGAAAGGACGGAGAGAATGCTGGTCAAAAATTTTAAATGATTTTCATATCCAAAATCAAGCGGTTGGACGTTAAAAATGCAAAAGCATAACATTCATATTTTGTTCTTCCTTCCTTTCTACCATTTGCAATTGAAACTATTCTGTTGCCTTTATTTTTGGAATATTATCAGGAGCAAAGCTGTCTCCTTTGTGCAAGATTCCATACTCTGAGAAAATGGGACAAGTTCCTTCCAATGTGTACAGTGGTGTTTAAATCTCCATGTATATAGTATCATTATTACTTCAACACTTAGTGTTTTATTACTGGAAACACCCATTCCATCTCATTGTTTCCTGTAAAATTGTATTATGTAGCTATGTCATCAGAATCTGGACTTTTTTAATTGCTTAATGAAGATGATACATGAGAGATTCATTAATGAAAATGCCTCTGTTTTCTTAAAATTATTCCTTCAGTCTTTTCGAAGTTTCTAACTGCTGAGAGGTAAAAAAAAGATTTTATGTCTTTATGTTTCTAGAGCAAATGAAGAAGTGAAAGAACCTTAAAAATGAAATGAAAGTAATTTCTAATTTACATATTTACTCTATTTAAGAGGTCTGCATGGAGAGAAAATCAAAGTACAATTTGCAATGCCAAGATGTTCTTTATATTCTATTAATATTAGTATAGATAATATTAATATTAGAGTTTATATAGAGCAAGATACAGGCTTTCATGGGCAACCTTGGGTTATGAGTAGAACATCAAAGGCCACATTCCAAAATGTCTCAGACAAGAAAAATAAATGAATATACTAGATGTATAAAACTACTAATATCAACTAGATCTACTCCCTCTGTTTTTATTAAATTAATTTATTTAATTCAGTATTAAAATGCCCAATTTCACAATTAAAGTATATACATTGATTCTAAAGTATAGAAATAAATTCTTGTTGAATGCATTCTTTTCATATAATCACTGATGCACACCTTCATATGTACAGTACAACTACATATGCATCCTGAGCAAAAGGATTTTCTCAGGCTGCCTAGCAAACTCTTTGTAGATTTCTACTTTCTCATAGTGGAGCATTGGAGACTTTCAAATGGAATCATCTTAATAGAAAATTATAAGGGGAATGGGAATCTTAACCCAATCGGTTGCCCAATAATCCAGGAGTCTTATGGAATATGAATTTTACAAGTGGCAGATAGAGCTGAAATTGTCCTTTGTTGGGCTGAAGTAGATTTATAATCCTTTATACTGGTGGATGCTCTGTTTCCAAAGTCAAACCATTAAGAAAGAAGTGAGATGGATGAAGACAGGTATGAAGGAATAAAAGAAACCCATAGCCTTCTTACCCCATCTTTTTTTTTAGCCATTACCTATTTACTAATTAAAAAATTAAAAACAGGAAAACACATCCAGTGCTAACATTGAATAAATAAAAGAAATGGGAGATGAGAAGGAGGGTGGTATGTCAGTGACAGTTTGCAGAATCACTGAGAGTACACCAATAGTCTTCAGAATGTGAAATCTCACCATTTCTGCTGTCCAAGAACTAGGATGATTTATTACTGGCTCAGCTGTGGTATATGATTAATCACAAAAAAGCTGGTCTTTTCACTTGAAGCACAGCAACTCTGCAGAATTTGTGAGTGGTCCATTCTAGCGGTGGGAACTCTTCCCTCACTCCCGACTATTCCTCTCCTTCCCCAGGTTTTGACCAGCGTAACATTTTTCTTAACAATTCAATATGGGGGAAATGACTACCAGATTGTGATTTCCAGGTTGGGAGGAATAACTATGATTCAGAAAATATGTCCTTTTCAATATAGTTTTTCAAAAGAAACAAATGTTGCTAAAATGGATGTTACATTTAGATTTGAAGAGGGTTGAAAGGACTGTCGATGCTAGCATAATGACAACTTTCATTAAGAGTGCTAAAAACTTCAGTAAAACTTTATAATTTGTTATTATGCACAAATCTTATTATAATACTGGTAATTGTAAAAATGTTTAAGTACTTAAAGCATGTTCCCCAGGGAGTCAAAAAGTTTCCGGTCAGTTTATCTTCTTTTTATGCAGATTTTTCATTCAAAACAAAGAAACAGAAGCAACATATTTTGTCTAGCTTTTATGTTTTGAAATTGGCATAAATGAAAAATGAAGAATTCTCAGGAAATAAACAAAAACCTGTTTGCCAAAAATATATCCTATTGGGGGAAGGAAAACCTAAAGAGGCCCTTTTCTCACTATTAGTAATTTTGGCTAGAAAAGTCTATTTAATCATCTTTAACAACTTCCATAATCACCTAACATTTGATCTCCCTTTTGTGTAAATGCAGCTTCTATAGTGTGTGGCTATGCAATGTGTGTATATTAGTAAAAGTGAAATAGGATCATTTATGATCTATCATAGAATTCATTGTAATCTGTGGCTCTAATAGTAAACTCAACTGACCCATAAAAGCTGAGATTGAGTTCTTACATTTGTACTTTCCCATTTACTTAAAAGCTAAGGCAGTTTCCACATGAAAATGTTATACATAGAAAACTGCATCCTGAAATTAATGAAGAGATTTCTACTCTGATGAGGGTTTCATCAGCATAGGAATACATCTCTGTAAGATGGTAAAGCTCTATTTTTCTCCCAATAATTGGAAAAAACCTCAATCACTGGGCTAAATAAATGGTTGTATCTATTACATTTGTACTTGAATTTGAAGATGTTAACAGATTTCATAGAAATTGTTCATAATTTTCATGAGTCACTCATGAGTTGAATCCACCAGTTTAATCTCTTACAAATAAATGAGATTTAGAATGCCAATATTGCATTTATGATTGACCATGTTCACAGTTCTACCGGAAACTTTTTGGCCACAATAACCAGGTGCAGAATCATTTCGGAAAAAAAGTTTAACCAACTAGAGACTGCCATTTTCAATGACTTACATGATTCTTTTGTACCGTTATTTTTAACTGGGGAAACGAAGTGAAGTAGGAAGAAGTTAAAAGTTGCGTTGACATGATTTTGTTTCTAAGGGATTTAATTTGGATGCATTGGTTAGAAATTTTGTTCAGTGTAAAATGTTACAATTGTCTGGAAATTCTGAGCATCTTTGTCAATTTATTAATGATACAGACATCGTGTCTTGGCTGCAGTCTTATTTTACTCAGTTCTTGCACCATGAGAAGGTTGAATAATTTGCATTGTCAATGTGTTGGAATAATCAGGGGGCAACAGTTGTGCAAAAGAACCATGAAGGATAAAGTTGTGTCCTTGATATTAACAATGTGCCTTTTGTTATAAACAATGCCATGTGATGGAACATGCAACTTTGTCTCTTTAACCCTCTGAATACTGTACTATGTAGTATGATTGAAATATATTTTTGAAGTACTACCCTTCTTTTTAATATGCCTCTATGAGCATAATTCACTAGAAACCTCCTCTGAGAACACCATGATAAATTAATGATTGCTTTTGAAGACCACTTGGGTTTTCTAACTACCCAGCATATGAACTGGACAGAAATTGGATAGGTTTCTGGTTCATTTTGCCTGCTATTTTCAAGGCCTTAATGTATATCATAAGGCAATCATACTACTTAGTAGGGAACAGAATTCTCTGTTGCAAGGATTTTCATTTTTATTCAAGGGTTAAATAGGGTGTTACATATTACTTAGCTAAAATCATAAGATCTGATTAATTTTTTTAAAAACAATATTGTGTTGGCTGTTATAACAGCACTAGACAGAGTCAACTGTATTTATATAAAGGGAAAATTACCTCAAACTGTTTAATTTTATAGTGAGAATTAATCCCAGGGCATTTGGTATGAACCAAAGTGCATTCCTTTTTCTATATGTCTGGCTTCAGTAAATGTGGCCAGGGATTTTTACAACTTGGGTGCAAGGCATTTAATGCCACTTTTACCTTGTGGTTAGTCAGGGAGTCAGAAAGGACTCCTTAAAAAATTTTTTAAACTATTATTTTTTAAAAGCACTTCGTGGAATGATTCTTGGGGGAAACCAGAAGTAGGTACCATGAAAATCCATGGGGACTGGACAGTGACAGAGCTCAAGGAATTATGTCTACTCAAGTAGCAACGAACTGGATTATTCGACTCCTTAAATACATGTCAGAATTCTTTGAATCCATCTATTTTTCCTAAGAATTTTTTCCCCAAACAGAAGTAGCTGTTAAACATTGTCAGAAAAAAAGGTTTAGGGTGATGAAAATCGAGCATTATCAACTGGATAAGCTATGAGTAAGATTTTTAAAAATATTTGTGAATGGTATTGTTTCTAGGGATATTTACATCTGTGCTACAAAATATGAAAAAGATGTATTCACAGCTCAATAGCTGCTTTCTTTCCACTGTCTTTAAAATGAGCAACAACTTAGACATGTGACTGGTATGCTGCAACTCTTGTGTACTGAAAACATGTGAAAAATGATTGAATGTGTATTGTGTATATATGTATGTAAATTTTTTATGTGAGATGCTGCTGCTGTCACAGCCACTTCACATTAAATATGTTGTAGGATTTTTTAAATTCAAATTCTTGTGGCCAGTTTTATGATACTTCTGTATTGTATTGCTGATGACAGGAGTTAAGACTGTTTTAGTGAATATTTGTTACATTCATTGTTGTGGCCAGAGATCATTTCAGAATAAAATTTTTATGTCCTATGTAATTGTTTCTTCCCCTGCATTTCTGAGTTTTATCTTGGTGAAAGTAGCCCTTTCCTTTTTTTTAAAAAAAATGTTTTATTATATAAAATACAAAGAAAAAACAAATAGAAATAGGAAATTAAGGAAGGAAAAGAAGCAAGAAAAGAGGGTGTGAGATCCAAGGGGAGGGGGAGGCATTGAGTTCGATACTACTTAGCACAGTACAAGATACAAACACTCCAACCCCAACTTTTTGCTTTTACACATTATAACTAGCCGTTTCTATGATGACCAATCTTTCTGATCAACAAAACCAAAACCAAAGTTTCATTTTTTTATCACAAGCAAAAATCCAGAAGTGATATCCAAATGAAAAAATATTTTCCACTTTGAATAAAATAATCAATATAACAATTCCTGCTTTATCTTCCTTGCTATGGAAATAGTATGTATTTCTTATATGCACCTAATAATCTTTGTGAACTGTCACCATTTTTATGAACAAGATTCATTGTATTCTTTCAAATTCTTTGACCTTACTGAAAAACCCCCCCATTTTTTCACTCTTTTTTTATACTAAACTTTTTTCAACACTTTTTAAAGTCAAAACTTTCTAATGCATCTTTTTCTCTGACTTCTTGACATACAGTATTACATTTAGATCTCTGTTTCCAAACAACCCATATAGAATTTTTTTTCTTTCATAAACATCCTTTTTAACAGAGAATTTTTCTTTAAACTGGTACATGATTTTCTTTAAATTTCTCTTAATACAAATACTCTCAAATATGTTTTTAATAACATTTGCCTACTTTAAGAAGTGTGTGTGTGTGTGTGTATGTGTATATAAATTACATTTTTGAATTTTGGGTTAACCTTTCCTTCAGTTACATATATCAAACAGAAAGATCCATCCTAATTCCAGTAAACTCATTGGGTTTAAGTCACTTCTTCCATCTTATCTTCATGGAGTAAAATCTTTTTCTTCTCTGGAAGTTTTATCAAGCAGTTATAGACCTCTCTTTTTATCACGGAATCTTCAACCTTGTCAATATCCTTAAAGAAAATCTCCCAAATTTGTCTTTTTCCTTGACGTTCTTTTAGCTGTGTTGAGAGGTTTATATTTAAACCATAATAGTGAAAGTTAATATCAGGTTCTTCCAAAACTGCAATGAACTCATCTGCATTTTCAGCTATTTGTGAAGTTGCCTTGGTAGTTTGGTCACATTCTCCACATATTTGCATCTCAAAAGTTTTAATTGGTTTTTTAAATGATTGGGGTTTTAATATGTTTGGGCCAAATTTGTTTAATTCGATTTTACTTTGTTTTTAAATTTTGTATCTATGTATTTTTACTGTTTGGCTGTTCACTGCCCTGAGTCCTTCGGGAGTAGGACGGTATATAAATTAAATAAATAAATAAATAAAAAGTTATTTGAGAGGATGTTTTATCATCCTTGGAGCACAGCTGGTCAACAAATTGGCAGATTTTATTTAGAGACTTTCAAATATATCTCTAATACTTTGCTCCACCATCTTGGCTTCCTCTTTTGATCAGGATGAGAAAATTTTAGCCGCCCACAGCAAAGACGACCAAACTACAAGTTACTACAATAATAAACTAAAATCACAGTCTTCAGTCTTTATATTTTGCCGTCAGCTTTTTTCCCCCCCACACTTCCTTATTTGGTTTGCCTTAGCAACCTTCTTTGAAAGGTGAATTTCCAAACGGCGGCTTTTCTTCAACCCCAAACAGATTGCAACCCCGCCCACCCAGCTTTTGGCATGCAGATAGCTTCAGAGTCAAACTCCAGAAGCCGTTTCAGCTGTATTTAGAGGGTTCCAATGGGAAGTTCTTTGACTCACTCTGATCAGGTGGGTCAGAAAAACTGAAGGAATGCCAGTTCCTTTGGTTGAAAAGCTGGAGAGCTACAACCTAGGGAAAAACTCTTCAGAGATCTATCCCCAGTTGTGTATTTCAGTTGGCCATCTTCCCAGAAGTGTCCAAAAATAGCCCTTTCACCCCTTAAAAAATGAACATACCAGTGGAACTATTGCAATCTGATAATTCATGTTAATTAATTCAATAATTTTAAATAAAAAATTGTGTATACAAACACTTTGATTTGATAATATTTTAAGGATAAAAGTTAACAACAAATGTTCAATTATCTGAGACACAACTTTCTCACGCAAAACATTTTAAATACTCAATATTTTCAGGCATTCAGCTATTTATAGATTCTGAAAAAAAAAATTCTGGCAGTTTGGTCTAGTAAAACATTCCTTCCACAGCATTAGATCTCTATGTCAATGTTTTTCAACTTTGGCAACATGAAGATGTGTAGATGTTAACTCCCAGAATTTCCCAGCTGGCCAAAACTCCATTCTAAGTAATTTGCAAGTCCCTGTCCAATCCCCTACATCAGCAGTCCCCAACCTTTGTGGTTTGCCAGCCTGACTGGGGGAGGGAGGAATTGGGTCGTGTGAGCGGTGGGCTGGTGCGCATGTGTGCGCACACACAGCCCTTGCATGAGTAGTGAGCTGGTGCGCACATGCACAGCTCAACCTGCATATGTGGTGGGCTGGTGTGGACACGCCATGGCCTGGGGGTTGGGAACCCTACCCTACATATCATATTCTAGTATATAGATTGCTGGTCCCTGGCTGAACCTATGCTAAACTTCAATGCACATTACTACATGATTGTGGAATAATTTAAAATACCAGTCTACATGATTTACTCCTTAGATTATTTACATTGAGTTAGTTAAATCATACCTAAGAAAATGGCATTTGGAGTGTCCACAGTATGGGAGAATCAAAAAAGTTTATAACGCAGTGGTGGCCCTATGATTTAAGCTCTCTTTATACAAGTTGCATGTAAAAAAAGGAGTAGGGATTTGATTGCACAATTGCAGCTACAATTTTCACTTTTCTAAAACTTTCCTTCCCAGACCCTCTCTTCCCAAGTCATTTTATAATGCAAGAATCTGTAGGCCATCACATAATTTATTCAAAATTAGATGCCAAAAATTCAAATAATTATCAAGTTAAAACAGAATGACAGGTATCCTTACTTTTCAACAACAATAGTTATGGTTTTCAAATATTTGGCCAATAACTTAAAAACTACCATATCCAGAAAATCTATGGTTTAAAAGTAAAGGACAACATGATTTTATGACAATAAAACTACCATGTCCCTATCAGAACCTAGCTGTTTGAAGCCTGATTTCTCTTTTTAAAATCTGAAGGTTTTTTTTTCTATACACAAATTATAGCTGACGATGAAACAGATCTTAAGCCTTGGACTAGCCACATATTCTGAAATCTCACACCAGTAGCATTTAATGGTGTTTCTCATAACATGTACAACTGGAATTGTTTGAAATCTTAGTGGTATGAAAGTCTGACATTTATTTAAACTATGTTAATCAGGTAAATTTGATGCTATGATTCCAATCATGCAAAAAATGGGGGGAGGGGAAATCCAATTTCTTTGCTTCCCAGGAAAATATCATCAGTATGACCACGGACTGCAAATAATTGCAGTATATCATCCATGTGTCCTCTGGACCCTGAGACATTTTGTTTGGATGAGATTGAGGAGATTTTCTTTTGTATACATTCCTAGCCTTGGGTTAGGATGGTTGGGGCAGCTGTTGACTAAATTTGAGGTGTGAGAGCCGCACCTCGCGCTTGCCATTAGTTCCTGTTCTCTTTTTCCTTATTGTTCTGTTCTATGTTGTGTTGTGGTGGGATAGAGTGGTGATGGTGTGTGTGTGGGGGAGGAGGGTTGTATTTTGTTTGGATTTTTTATACTCCACCCGTCAGACTATGGAATTTGAGCAAAGGTTTTAGCCTTAATCAACTTTAGGGCTAAGATGCTAAGAGCTATGTTCATGTCCATGATTAGAGATCAAAGGTTTGCCATTTATACAGCAGCTTTAAACTCTCTTCAGTGCCAGGAAAAATATTGCACTGTTTGTTGTGTTTTAACAATTCTATTTCTCATTTCTTTTCTTTTTGAACTCTGTATCTCGTTTCAGCTTTCCTTCATGCAAACATTTGTTTCCCTCTTATTTTGCTCCTTCATTAGCACATTTCAAAAAGTGTTAAGTAGCGTTTTCAATACAAACAACAAAAAAGTGACAGAAAAAGGAGGGGAAAATACAATTAAATGCCAGTCTTCTTGCTATTTTTGTCTTAAGCAGTTACTTCTCTGAGATGGCTTTTAATTATTTCCCACATTTAGTCTTCATCTCTGTGGTACATAGTAGAGGCGTAACAAATGTGGATTATAATTCTTCTACTATTTTATTATGCTGTTCTAAAAACTTCCCTCAAGTAAAAAGAAAAAGCACAAACGTTCAAGGCTTCAAATATATCAGAAGAAAATTAAATTATCCTTGGATAGAGGAGACCAGTACCTTTCAAGCATTCATAACCTGTTGATTCTGGAGCTATGCATAGGGAATTTGTTATTCTGGAACATGGATAAAGGGTGATTGATCTTCAGTTAACTACCCACAGTGAACTGCTGAGAACTTTTAATCATCAGTGTTCTCTGAAACATGGGGAAAATCTAACCATGAAATGGATAAGTGTCTATTTCATTTTTTCTATCGAGAGGTGACTCCAGGATGCAAGCTTTGGTAAAAATGATAAAAGCAGCTTCTTGCCATTGTGATACGAACTCTGGTCTTTCTACGCATGCACGCAATATCACAATCATATATAAGGATGAAGCTGGTGGTGCAGTAGTGTGCTGCTGCTTATGTCATTTTCTCTCCATCAATCATCTGAAAGGATGTTTCTCATGTCATCCATTATTTTTGTTTGTAACTGCCAAATCCTTTATCAACATTTCTGAAGATTTTCATGAATTTGGGGAAATTTTCCCAACTCAAAACATATGGAATTAAATTTGCATGTTTGCATCTTCCTAGTTCTGTAGGTATGAAGAAAAGGAATCTGCTGGTAGAAACAGAAAGTGGCAATAAGGGAAGTATATTTGACCACATAATTAGAACTGGGGCCCAATGTAAAAAATGAAGCTAAGATTGAAATGTTGAACAATTAAATTATTTCAAGTAGAGAATTTTTTTCTCTAGAGAAAATTATTATTTTTGTGTATTTTTAAAACGTGTGTCTGTTTATTACCTTAAATTGGGCAAAACTAGAAGGTATAAGGCAACAATTATTGAACCAGGGTAATCAATAGGTTAATTTACAGAATGTCTGGATCCTGGGAATTAAATTTGGGGAATTTATGGCTGCTTTAGCACCACCGTGCCTTCCAGTTATAGTTCCCAGAAACCCATAGGTTCCATCGTGCAAGGGAAGATGGGAGGGCTGTATCCTTGCCCTTTTTCCTGGCTGCTTCTTGCCGCTGTTCCCAATTTGCTGGTGGCATAGTCAAATGGCAATTGGCTGCTCTAGAACCGAGGCTGAAATCTGAAATCTCTTAATGGTGGTGGGCCATGAGGGAAAGGCAAGAGAGTGGCTCAGATGCCTGCTGGTGAAGTAGGGCTGTCTGGGAAATGCCAGGAGTTGCTGGGTGAATCCTATTCCTCCCTGGAGAGAGGTGAGCCCAGGATAGAGACTGGGGGTGCAGTTTTCTTTGCTTTCCATGGCTTCCATTATTCCTCCAGCACTCAGCAAAGTGGCAGGCATTTCTGTGGTTCAGCAAAGAAGGAGGAGGAGAAGGAATGATTTCTAAGCTCCCTGCTAGCTTCCCTTAAGCAAAGTCAAAGGGAAAGCCAGCTGGAAGTTGCTCATAGTTCCAATGCTTTTTTGCCTACATGTGGTTAGTCTGTTTCTTTGTTTAGGCAAGGAAGTATCTCTGAAATGAGTCATGGATTGCCTTAATATGTAAATTTATCAGCCACCAAACTCCAATGGATTCTGGATCAGTGTATTTTGTTGGACTACTGAATCAATGATCTCCATCATTTTGCAATCTACACAGTGGTTCTCCACCTTTTCTTCATCATGGACCCCCTTTAAATACCTTTTGTGGCCATGGACCTTGGCCACGGACCCCCAAGACTTAACCCGAGATTTAAATCATAACATTTCTTCAAGCCTTCGCAAACCACCTACGACGACATCATGCCCACCCAAGGTCTGCGGACCACAGGTTGAGAACCATTGATCCACACTAATAATTAATGGCTAGTTTTTAATCCATCCTTACAAGTGTCACAGTACCACTAGTTTCCTATTAGGTGTATTTACCTTTCAGATAAGTGTACTGTTAGTATCCTCTTTGTTGTATTTTACAAGAGACTATTGATGGAATATTGCAGTCTAAAAATACTGTTTGACTCTTTCTCATTTATACATTATTGCCTTCCCATGGAATGCAATGTTCATTGGGGATTATACTACTAAAAGAACAATTCAATAAGAGCAATCAGCATAAAATAAATAAACATTTTAGTTCCTAAATATTTCATTTCTAATTAAAATGACAATACAAATCAATATGTCAATATTTTCCTGCTGAAACAACTGAAAGTATATATATCAAGACCAGCATTGCAATTTTTGCAGCAATATGAGCTGATACTAAACAGTTTTGCTGCAAATACGTTTGTGTGTGTTTGTAAAGTTCTCATGCAAATGCTTAACTTCTGGGGGAGGAATATATCTTTTTGGAATAATTTGGGTTTAGATCCAGCTTTTGATTCCAATATTTTCAAACCTTTAAATTACCTGCTCCTTTCTGGCATGTTCCACAGATGTTCTATCCATGTTCCTGATCAGTCTCAAGAGTCTGCTCCCTACAGAAGGATCCACTTTCCCTACAGCTTTGTTGCAGAAACTGCTGAGACAAAAACAAAACAGGAATTTGGGAGCGCTCACATTCCTGAAGATTAATGTTGGTTTTCCTGAAGTACAACTCAAAACTGAACAGGTTTCATAAAATACCTTTGCCAAGATGTCTTGAAAAGCATCATAATGTTCAGTTCTATACTGTAGGCAAATCTTTTAAAAAAATGAAGCTGCCAAACTGGCAGCCCTACCTGCTTCTCTCTTTGGCATGACATTCATTGGCTCAGAATAATTGCTTTTATTTTCACAGGGTGTATTTTTAACATTCTATTTATGTTCCAACTCAATCTTTATCTGGGCTGGATTTGTTTTTATTTCATGTCCAGTTTCAAACAATAGTTTGATTGCCAATGAATGTATCGGGTCCTTACTTTTCTTTGATTATTCTCTTCTCATATATCAACTCATAATCAGTAGAGGTCCTGATTTCTTAAATAAGTTTCCCTACATATCTGAATCAGGAAATTGGATTAAGCAATCCTTGGGACACTTTCCTAAATTAACAGTAGTTGGGAAACCTGCAATTCATGGTATTGGATTCAGAGGAAATTTGATTTAAGAAACAAGAACATTTCCTCTGCAGTTCAAGAGTAAACACAGAAGTGAAGGGATTTTACTTATTTAGAAAATGAATATGCAGCCCATATCTTTAATAGCTCCAAGCAACTAACATATTAAAAAATCCATTAAAGCAACATAAAAAACATAACTGATGTTTTATCACAATCGCAATAAAATTAAAAGACACAAAATAAATATAATTTACCCTTCTCTAGATGGCTAAAGGGATGTGGTGGCTCAGTGGCTAAGACACTGAGCTTGTCAATCGAAAAGTCAGCAGTTCAGCGGTTTGAATCCCTAGTGCCACGTAACGGGGTGAGCTCTCGTTACTTGTCCCAGCTTCTGCCAACCTAGCAGTTCGAAAGCACATTAAAAAATGCAAGTAGAAAAATAGGGACCACTTTTGGTGGGACAGTAACAGCGTTCCGTGTGCCTTTGGTGTTTAGTCATGCTGGGGACATGATCACAGAGACATCTTCGGACAGCGCTGGCTCTTCGGCTTTGTAACAGAGATGAGCACCACCCCCTAGAGTCGGGAACGGCTAGCACATATGTACGAGGGGAACCTTTACCCTTACCTTTATATTGCTAAATCTAAAATGATGGATGGATTCATCTTCAATGACAATTTATTCTATCATATGTGCCCTGCCATAGAAAAAGTTGAGTTGACTATTGATGCCAACAAGCAATAGGATCGACAAAATTTACACTACTGTTGTAGATTGAATAGGAGTAGATGGTTCTATAAACTGCATAGGTCTGAGTAAGACTTAATGCACCATTCAGATTCAAAATCACCCTGGATTGTATTAGGCAGGCAATCAGTGAGTACTGAAACTATGTCAATATAAGGGTAAAACAGTCCTCATGGCATTAGTATTATGTACGCTATATACCTATGATGGTGAGTTTATGACATAAAGTATGTGTCAAATATGACACACCAACATTCACCAATAACCAACATCTATTCTCGAAAGCACATCTTGTTCTCGTGTTGTGTTTGAAGGCTGCATAGACTGTGTATGAATGGGTTCCGCCTTTGTATGACTTCTTGATCCTTGAAAAACCATTGTGAGAATGGAGTATGCTTTTGAATAATTTTTGAAGGGTGCAGAGACTGTGAAAGAACATTCTCTGAAGCCACTTCAAGAACCAAGGATTATGATACCTGGAGCTGAGTTGAGTAGGCCACAGAGGGCTGTTAACAGAAAGAGAACACTGCCTAAAGGTAAATGAAATGAGCATATCCTGGGGATCACACACAATTGGATTGTGTTATTTTAAATAAATGAATATGAAATGATATGTTTCTCTTTTGCTGGGGAGGGGGGGAGGTCTGACATGCCAGCAAAGTCAAGTTAGGCATTTTTTCAAATTTTTGATACATCCAAATCCAAAAGGTTGGCCATCGCTGCTATATATTGTATGCACAACACATTTTGCTGTTGTAATTTGGACAAACCGTATTTCTTGACTGTGAAAATCTGTGAAAATATACAAAAAGAACACATTGCAATAGGTTACATCTCTATCAAGTCCTCCAATAGGATATTGTGGTCAATGATACTACGGCAACCAGAGATCTCATCAGAATCATACTCCTCTTTTTCAGTAAAGCTCATCCATCACTAACCAGGATTTCTGAAGACCAAAAACTGATTCTAAACCCAACATTCAAAATAATGTACTTCATCTATTAGCTCCTGGAGCTGCAATGGCGCCATCTCTTTACGCCTTGGTGGCGCAGCAGACTAAAGCACTATTAAGTAACACCAGCTGCCTGCAATTACTGCAAGTTCAAATCTCACCAGGCTCAAGGTTGACTCAGCCTTCCATCCTTTCGAGGTAGGTAAAATGAAGACCTGGATTGTGGGGACAATAAGCTGACTTTGTATAAAAAAGAACACCGCTTGGGAGGGGGGGCGAAAGCCCTACTAAGCAGGTATATACAAAAGTATGAAGGCTATTGCTTAAAAGCATTGTAAGCCACCCTGAGTCTCCGGAAAAGGGCGGCATATAAATCGAACCAATAAATAAATAAATAAATAAATTAGCTAAATGTAGAATATTGGGCAATTCAACCAGATCCAATGAATGCCTTTTAACAAGGGACTCACCAGAGCCTCCTTTAACATGGCAAGTAAGAGAAACAGTTATCATTGGCAGGATAGAATCCTTTCAGGCCCTTATAACGAAAGCCAGTGATTACTATGAATTATTACATGGAAACAATCCATGGCTGGTTACAAAAGTCGCAGCATATATGACTACATCATAGAGCTTGGCTTGATATTTGTGTTTGTCAATCCATAAGACAATAGCAGAATCTATTTTTTAATCTTCAGTCTGAATTTCCAATAAGTACCCAACTAAATGTTTTCAACTTCTTATATTATTAAAACATATATTACTCTTAATTTCTAAACTGAAATATTGGACATATATAAGTATGCAGTATCTTTATGTTGAATACTGACAGCTATTGTAACTCAGTTTTAATCTATATTGTTTTAATTTAAACTCAATACCTAGATGTCAACTAATAATTCTATTCCTGAGAGATAAATAACTCTTACAATGAACTACACTGGATGGATCAGCACCAAAGGAGCACAGTTTGAAAACCATTTTTTAAAATAATGGCATCTATGAGGTGGGCAGCATATACATTTAACTAATAAACTGTGATCATACCAAATTTAAAATCAAATGAATTGAATATTTGCCTGTGACATTTTTACCTTAATGTATTGTATCACTAATGAGGATTCCAAACATTTTCAGAGTAGAAGCAAGGATGCTTGAATAGATCTGGTAAAGATACAGAAAGGTCCTGTACTCACAACACACATAATCAACCATTAACCGAGTTGTGTATCTTTCTGTGGTTGGTCCCAGCAGCAAAAAAATCGCACTCAATCAAAAATTACTATTCCAGGAATACAGGCTCCTCACCCAATTTCTGCTGAAAGCACCTAATATCCCAGAAGCTTTTATAGCAGGAAAATACTGGCAAGGCTTTATGACATCACCAGCCCTTTATCCACTGAGAAAGTAGCAGGTGTGGTTTAGCCATTGCAACCAATCAGGGTGTAGGAGTGTATTCTATGCTGCCAGACCGTAACAGTGAATTCTAAACTAGAACTCTGATTTCATCTACTGATACAAAATGTGGAGAGTTTCAACTAATACAAGGAAACTCTGCTTTTCATACGTGAACTATGGAATTTATTTAATATTTAAATTGGAGTCGTAGCCAAATTTCTGGCTTCTAGTATTAGGGGCTACCAATTTAAGTTTACCAGTTAAGAAGAAATAGCTAGAAGTGGACTGTCATCCTCATGCTCTATGGCTCAGGTTCTCAAAAGCATTTGATTGCCTAGTGGACTAGATGGGCCTTCTGCTTGATATGCTACATTTTTGATAATGTATTAGTATATAAACGTGACATAAAATATATGTGTCCCGAGTCTCATCTTACTGTAATGAATTGTTATCTCTTAAGCTGTGAAAACATCATCCCCAAGTGGCTACTAACAATGAAATCAGGATGCAGAATATTAAGTGATACTGTACTTCATATTATGGGGGAGAAAAGCATTTGACATATGGAAATTACTTTTGGTACTAGTCCAGTGTCCTAACTATTTATTTTGTTACCTTAACCAAAATGTTCTATCAATTTATTTCAATAATTATAAGTAAAAAGACATGGGAAAAAAATTAGCGAAAACTGGGAATGACTAATGTTCCATATTTAATTCAATTTCTCATGCATATTGTCTAATTTTCTGAACAGAATGTAAGCCTGATCCTATAAAGAAATATAAATCAATGGACTAAAAGGTATCTGATTCAAGCAATCTGCATGTCAACTCACGAAGCATTCCTGATCTGTTCTCGAGTTGCCATAGGCAGGGGAATGGGAAAATCGAGCCTCGCAGCTGCATCAAGGAACTTGCATTTCAGTGAAAACAAAGCACATTCCAGCCATAACTGGATTTCTTCTGAAGCTTGGCTTGTGGCTCATGATTTAATTAGAGCATCAGTTGGAACCCTGACAGCAAGCCTACTCTCCCAAAATGAATCAAAACAACATGGATTCCTGAGTCCAGGGCTCTCCATTCACTCCCTGACACCTGGGTGCATGGAGAGAAACTCAAGCTACCATGGCAGAGGGCAGACTATCTGAAGAGAGCCTGCTCCAGGCCACCCAGAGTATGGCAGAAATTGCACCCACCCAGGGAAGTCCAGGAGCCAGCAGCCCAATTGGAACCAAACTGCAGCCCTTTCTGGACATCAAAGCCGAGACTGACGAGACGCCCACCCCATTGACCCAAACAAAAAGGGATGAGTATTGGTGGGAAAAAGTCCCTAAAGTGGCTGAGGTTGAGCTCCCCCACCCTAGCGCCCAGGGCTTGGGAAAAGGAAGAGTGAAATGGATGAGGAACTGGGAACAGGTCAGATTCCCCAAAACTCTGATGGAACCCTTGAGGAGAATCTTAGAAGAGCTGAGGGAGAAATTTGACAGAACCACCCTTCATGATGAGGGGCTATTGTGCCGCCCAAACGAGAGGGGGGTTGCAACTGAACCCTTTGAAGTAAGGAGATGCAGCCGGGAATGCAGCCCCCCTTCTCCACCCACCAGAAGGAGAATGAGCCCAGGGCTGCTGCCGATGGTTCCTCCGCACAACAGGCAAGCCTCCCAAAGTGGGAGGCCCCTCTCCTCTCTATGAACTAGAGCCAAGGGAGACCGCCAAACACACCAAGCAAAGGCATATGGGGGCCAACATAATGAGGGAGGAACAGTGCTGAACGAACTGCCCCGATTCAGGGGGAAATTTGATGGGGACTCAGATCAACTGGCTCTATTCCTTGACTCTGCTAGAGTCCATCTAGAGCACTATGGATAGCTTTATGCATCACACAGAGTCATGGTGAATACCATCACTGGGGGGCTAGAGAGAGAAGCAAAGGAATAGTCAGCAGCCCTCCATAAGAGGAGAGCCCCCCAACTGCAAGACACCAATGACTTCCTACAGAGTTAGAAGCCAGATTTGAGGAGGTGGAGGAGGATCAGTGTGTGGAGGATAAGCTTTGAAACCTAAAGCAAAGAGGGCAACCCATTAAGGAACACATCCGTGAATTCAGGAGAGTTGTGGGGAAGCTACCCCCTTTGCTGGAGTGGCTATTAGTTCACCTTTTGTGAATGAGCCTGGACAAGCAAATTGCCCAAGTAACTCCCTATCGGGACATTCCAAACCAACTCTCTGAGTGGTTCCGAGTAGCCATAAAAGTTGACTGTGGATTGTGTGCCAATCACATGTGGAACCAACTGGATACCAAGGAGAGAGGACAACCAGACCGGAGACCATCTGGCTGATGGGAGGCTGTGCCAGCCAAAGAGGGGGAGGGACTCCAGCCAACGACAACCAACTGCCAGATCCTTATGTCAGTGAGGACGAAGGTGACAATGACCCAATGGTGAGTGAACCGTTCCACCCATTCATCCTCCCAATATGCCTCATAGCCCCAAAAACAGGGACCCAGGGTACTTTTCAAGCCCTAATAGATTCAGGCTGCACTACATGCTTGATTAACCTAACCACGGTCCTGAAACTGGGGATTAGAGTGAACAGACTGGCCCACCCGATCAGATTCGAAAAGGTTGATGGGTCCCTATTGGGGGGAGCCTACACCACCCACCTGACTGAACCAGCGAGGCTACAGCAAGTGGACTATTGGGAAGTAATTTGATTCATAATAGCCCCCAGAATGACAGATGCAATCATAATGGGGTCTCTTGGCTAGACAAGTGGGGCCCAACAATATGGTGTCAAGGGGGCACCTGGAATCTGAGGAAAGCAAGAGGACCCCAACCCCTTCCACACCAGCAAATGGAAGCATCGCCCATGCAGGAAAATCTCCCAAAGGCCCCACCAGAACAATTGGCAGCCACCTCTGACAAAACCCCAGAGGTTGAACAGATCACCAAAGAATATCAGGACCTTGTGGAAGTGTTTAGTGAGGCAGAGTGCAATGTCCTATCCCTCCATCGCAAGTCAGACTGTGCCATCGAAGTCATCCCTAGGGCAAAACTACCCAAACCCAAACTGTATGCCATGATGCCCTGAGAAATGCAAGAAATGTGAAAATACATAGACAAAAACCTAGCAAGGGGGTACATCAAGCCAGCCAAGCCACAGGTCGCAGCCCCAGTCCTATTTAAAGAAAAAAAAAGATGGAACTATGAGGTTATGCATGGATTTTAGAGGTATAAACTGTGTGTGCGTGTGTGTGTGCACAACCTATACACCCTCCCTCTCATGAAGGACATGCTGTCCCACCTAGCCAAGGGAAAAATCTTTACTAAATTAGACCTCAGAGAAGCATACTACCAAGTCTGCATCAGGGAGGGAGATGAATGGAAAACAGCATTCAAGTGCCCCCTAGTGAGCTTCCAATTTAAAGTAATGCCTTTTGGACTGCAGGGCCCCCTAGCGATGTTCATTCAATTAATAAACAAGGTGCTGCATGAGCACCTCTATAAGGGGATCCTTGTCTATCTGAATGACATCCTCATCTACACTGAGACCATGAAGGACCATAAACCCCTAGTCTGCAAGGTACTGGAAAAACTTCTGGCTGCAAACCTGTATGTCAAGCTGTGAAAATATGAATTTCATCATGTATTGCTAACTACTTGGACTACCTAGTGTCAAATGATGGCATAGAGATGGACCCAACCAAAGTACAAGCTGTCCTAGGCTGGCAGCTCCCTCGCACCTGCAGACAGCTACAAAACTTCCTAGGATTCACAAACTTTTACAGGCAATTCATCCCCTCCTTCATGAAGATTGCCAACCCATGACAGACCTCCTAAAAACAGGGGGCCCAGGGATGATGCCCTGCCTGGGACAATCCCTACAGTGGGACCTAACCTACTAAAAGGCATTCGAAACAATAAAAGAACTTTTTGCAAAGGAACTGTTGCTGAAGCATCCTGACCTTGAACAACCCTTCGTCATCCAAGCAGATGCCAGCAATGTGGCAGTGGGAGCAGTGCTACTCCAAAGAAAAAGTCAAAGAAAATTACAGCCCTGTGCCTACACCGCCCACAAAGGTCAGAGTTGGCTTCACTTGGATTGTGCTGACATAAAGCTCCTAATAAATAACTGGATTTTTTTAAAGCTTGGCTTGAGGCTCATGATTTAATTAGAGCATCAGTTGGAGCCCTGACACTGCATGCCAAATACTGTATTTATTTTTTGAGAATATTTTACTAGGAGTAGAACTGAATAAAAAGTTGACATATATATCTTTAGGGGCAACATTCATTCTATTTTCCACATTTGTTGTTCCAAATGTGGGACAACACATGAGACCTCATGGACCTGATGGACATCACTTTGCCAGGATTTTGTGTCAGTAATTGCTGCTTTGAGTTTCTGTAAATCAGTGTTTCTCAGCATTGGTCATGTGTGGATTTTAATTCTCAGAATTCTGATTGGGTGTATGCCTAGGTGGGGAATTCTGGGAGTTGAAATCCACACATCTTCAAGTTTCCAATGCTGAGAAACATTGTAAGCTTTGGTTATCTCTTCAATCAAAGAATCTAGCTACATTTTGAGACAGATTCTTTTTCAGTTGCCTCCAGTTTTTTTTCAATGCCTTCATAAAGTTATAAACTTTAGCTTCAGGATTAATGCTTCCAGTAAGCAATCTAGTTTTATTTCCTGATTTGGTGGTCCAAGATGTCCTCAACAGTTTTCTTCAGAATCACAATTCAAGGCATCAGTATTCATTCAGTATTTCTGATGATCCAGGTTTCATAGCCATTTGCTACAACTGAGAAAATTATAACTTTGACAATATATATCTTTGTTATCAATGTGATGACTCTGCATTTTAACATCCTCCCTACATCCCCCTACAGTCGACAAACCTCAGAATTTTTTAGCCAAGGAAGAT